CCCCAAAACCCCAAAACCCCAAAACCCCAAAACCCCAAAACCCCAAAACCCCATTAAAGGCAAGAGAGCTGAGCAAATATAAATAATAAAGATTTTAATCATGTTATTTACAAATTCTAATGGGTTTGAAAACTTTGGAAGGGTGACTCTGACCGATCTCTTGTCTGAGTTTGAAGATTTGTGTGCTTCGATGCCCCTTTCTGAGCAATACCAATCTTCGGATAGTCACAAAGAGGGAAATGGAGAAAATGAAAATTCCTTTCCAGGAATTCTGAATTCTGATGGGATTAAATTTACTTCTAAAGAAGATGGCCTCATTCCGTATCTTGAAGAGCCTGATGATGAAATTAGCGAAGAATTTAGATATTCTGAAGAAGATACTGGAGACTCAACAGATTCTTGTCAGGAAAAATATAAACTTTCAGTAACTTCAGGCATACATTTGATAAGTCATAAAATACTTAGTCCAATACCTGAAGGATCTGACAATGATGAAACATTATCTTCTTCGAAGGTGAAGTCTTCTAGCAATAGCCAAGATACACTCATGGCTTTCTTACTGGAGAGGCTAGAGTCTTCCTTCTTTGAGAAATTATATGCTCGGCAGACATCTTCGAATAGAAAGAGAGGAAGACCAAGAGTGGTAAAAGACATTAACGTTGACACTATCTGGAACGAAGTCCTGGAGAAGCTAAGCACAAAAGCTAATGAAAGAAAGATCCAAAGGACTGATGCCAAGAATGCTTCTATCTGTAGAGATGCTAAGAGAGTGGTAGACCACATACTCAAGTACCTTGGATCAAAATGTAGGTATAAGTCTACAAAAGATACCGATGTCATCGAATCTTATGCTGAAGCATTTACTATTGGATTTGTACCCACGATCTTTGAGGGCGAAGCACTTGAAAACAAAGTCAAGACTTTCTGAGAGTTCATTACAATCGCATATCCTGAGAAAAAGGTTAAAAGTATCCTCTCAATGATTACAGAAGCTGGTTTTCTAACTCCTGATGAAAGAGACATCTTCATTCATCAAATAGAGCAAAGAAAATCTTCTTCAAAGATAAGCTTTCTAAACCTACTTAGACAAAATAGGTGTTTTAAAAAGATATTTTTAAAACTCTTATCTAAGCTTGATCAGACAACTCTCAAAGACAAAGAATCGTACAAGAGAACCCTCTCTTCCTTCATATCTCCAACTGCCTAAACATCCACTTCAAAGGCTTTAAGCCATTCCAACTTTTCCTAAAGTTTGCGAATAGTGGCTAGTTTTTACGAAGATTCATTAATTTAAAAATTTCTCTCACAAAATTACTCTTGAGGTTCTAGAGGTTTATAATCACAAATAAACAGGATTTTTACCTGTGTTCAACCAATTCTTATGGGACGGGGTTTTGGGGTTTTGGGGTTTTGGGGTTTTGGGGTTTTGGGGTTTTGGGGTTTTGGGG